GCCTAAAATTATCCATGTTTTTAATAATCTTTTCAATTTCATCTCTGAAATTTTATAATTGGTCTTTTACATTTATGCATTCCATATAAAATGGATATTAGTTTCAATTTTTTTTCAATTTAGTCTTTAATTGACTCTTTAAGCTTCTAAAACTTTTAATTTCACTCTTGATTAAGCAAATTAAGCCCTTTCAAAGTTTAATTGAGCCATTGGTTACTCTAGCTTTGTAATTTTACCTATTTTCTTTTACTTTCTCTTTAATTAAGCTTTTATCTGTCAAAATTGGATTGCCAAACTTTGCAATCTCATCCATGTTGGTCCTTAAACCTTTAATTTGTGCAGTCATGACCAAGTTTCCAATATGTTTTCCAATATTTCTTTAACAAGACCCCAAATTATCCATCAACCTAGCATTATGAACAGTTGTGCATACTTGATTGATCTGAAGTATTATCTTTTCTTCTTCTTTTTTTTTTAATTTTTCCTTTTTCTTCTTGTTTTAAAAGAAAAATATTTTTTACATGAAAAGTGAGAAATTTTAGGGAAATCTAAAATTAGGTTACGACAACAACAATTCAAATATCACTACATTGTTTCCCTATTCACGGTTTCAATTATGTGAAAACTAGGATTATTTGACCACGTAATATCCTTTTTAAACCATTAATGAAGGTATAAGTTATATTCAATCTAGAGGTGAGAAAAACTTTGGTTTCTTGGCCTCATGAACTTTATGATTTTGAAAAATTCTAATGATGGATTTATTGGTTTTGATTTTTCTTTTTAGCACTCAAACTCTAAAGCCACTCATCATGTCACTCTTTATATTACTAACCTCTCATATGTAAAGTCATATAATAATTTTTATTATCTTAAAGTGGGGTGGTAAAGGTTTCTTAATCTTTACTATTAATGATTCCTTCAATGACATACATACTTGTACGTTAATATTGTCATCTATCTTACATGTTCCTGATATAACAAAATCTTTCTCTCTATACATCAATTTATTATCGATAATAATGATTTTTTTAATTCATAGTTATGTTTGCTTTGTTAAAGATTTTATTTCTAATACTATTCTTCTTTTCAACACTGTTAAAATTAGACTTTACATCCTTCATGCCCAGTCTTCTCCACCTAATACTCATACTTTTCTTGATGTTCGTATGTCACCTAAACTTTGGCATCATCGTTTTGATAATCCTCACTTATGCTAATTTTTATTTATCTGCAACCGTATGATCGGTATAAAATAGATTTTCACTTTTCATCATATGTATTCATAGGTTATAGTTCACTATATATTAGTTACCAGAGTATGGATATTCACTCTCATTATATATGTATATATATATTGTTTGTCATTGTACTGTTTATGAGTCATTCTCCCCCCCCCCTTTTTTTTCATTTCCACCAGTCTAATTAGTATTTCTTCCTCTTGATCTTTTTTATATTTAACTTTTATCTCTACCTATTGGGTCAACCTACCAACATCTAAACTCTTTAATAATCTTTTTTCTCAATTTGTCTTATCTCTAGTAGTTTAGAAAGAAAAACCTTCGTGTTCTAAATCCACTTTATCTTCCTCTTAGTATTCACACCCTCCTTACCTTTCTCTCATCGTCTTGCCTCTTGCTTACTTATGTTTTTTTTGTTTTTATCTACAACTCTAAGTCTAAATTTTTTTATTGATCCTGGACTCATTACCACTTCATCTCCTTTTCTTTCCACATCTCCTCTAAATATACAGATTGAACATCATATAATTTTATGACTTAATCGTACTCATCCTTCTAGAGCATTGTTAGTATCTTTTCTGACTTTACCCTTAAACCATTGTCTTTCACTAAGACTAAATGATATCCTAAACAACAATCAACTATGAATATTAATTTTATTTTATTTTTACTTCTAATGATACTTCGTTCTTTGTACCATAAAATCCTACTATGAATATGGTAGGTTGTGAATGGATATACTAGATTTAACATAGGGCATACGAAACTCTTAAGCATGACAAAACATATCTGGTGGACAAAGATTATTATCAATAAAAAAAAAATTGATTTTCAGTAGATATTTAGTCTAGTGGTGAAGCCTTGTAATGTTCAGACAATTCTTAGTGTTAGTGTTACTCATGGCTAGTTGGTATATCATTTTGATGTTCATAATGCTTTCATTAATAGGTTTATTGATGCAAATGTATTTATAGCTTAGCCCCTGACTTTTTTTATCCTCGGTTGCCACACCATGTTTACAAAACTTAGTTGTTCTCTTTATTATATTTGGAAAACACCTTATGCATGGTTTGATCAGCTTAGTTAGTTACTAGTCTCCTTTAGATTTCATAGCTCTAAAGCTAATACTTATTTATTCTTTGTTTTATTAAGGCTATGGTATTTTTTTGGTCTATGTTGATGATGTTTTACTAATTAGTGGCAATTCGGTCTTTCTAGAGCATTTTATTACACATTTAGGTACTGAATTTACCATTATAATCTTGGCCTTTTTAATTATTTCCTTGGAATCGGGGTTTCTTCCACTATAAATGATCTTGTCTTTCAAAACAATAATACAATGATGATCTTAAAATAATGCTAGTATGTTTGAGTGTATGTCAATTATTACTCCAATTGTCGTTGCTTCTTTTTCAGCCACCTCAACAAGCATTCCTTATTTAAATCCAACATAATTTAGATTATTAGAGGTGTTTTTTAGCATCTCATGTTCACTTGACCTAATAGATGTGTTGTGACACAACTAAAAGATTGATGTCTTCTCCCAAGTGCAGGAGTGTCGAAGTAATAAATAACCCGGCAAGATCGGGGTCGAACCACAGGGAGGTTAATTGTATAAATTATAGATAATAATAATACAACAACAACAGCAATAGTAGTAGTAGTAGTAATAGAATAAAAAGAAGAAGTTGATGAGAACTTTGAGATGGAAGATTAATTTAATGATTAAACAATGATGACAACAAATGTCAAGGTTAGAGGATCCACTAATGGTATGTTAAACAAGTATAGCATAAACTCTTATTATTCAATTGAAAACCACACACATAAGAGGTTTCAATCAGATTATAAATTGTTAACATGATTACATTAGTTATCTTATTCAATTAATACTAATACTTGTAAATCTTGTCAAGCATTCATGATTATAACTTATGTTAACAACAAATCAAGTTTCTTTCATAGCTCAGGTGTCGATTATACCATATAGTATGGGCTATGAGCGTGCCAAATATTTATTGTACCAAGTGTTATACAACATAAATCTAGATTAGTCATTTAACAAGCAAAGTATTAAAGAGTGAACAAGATAACAAATATAAAACATGTTAGTATCAAACATTAATGTCTATGTTCAGTTTACACTATACTTATTCTTACACCATTAGTATAACCTTTTCACCTTAATATAATAAACTTAACTAAACATAATAAAATAAAGAAAAGTAAATAAATAAAATAAAAACTTAAATAAGATAAAAGTTAACTCAGTAAAGGAAAGGAAATGAAAGGCATAAACAAGATATTAATGAAAGAAAAACTTAAGCATTACAAAAAAACAAAGAGAGAAAGCAATAACATAATCTTGGTCTGGAGACCAAGATGCCTAATTGCATGACAAATGCCTCCTTTTATAGGCCAAAATTAGGAACTATTGATTTGATGACTAATTAATGAGTGGATGGCCAACTCTTGACTTGGTGACAATCTTTATCTTCTCTTGTCTACCTAAAACCTCATTGATAACGTTAGAATTTGAACCACTTGAAAACATAAAAGTTGTAGGAAATTGTCTCAGCTTTTCAGGAAAAAAAATAGAGGTCATTTGGACTTCTAGAACTCCAAATATGGGCCAAACATTGAACAATATTTGGGTTGCAGGATAGATTCAGGCTTCTTTGTTGTTGCTATAATTTAGACTTGAAAATTGCTTTTTTAAATCTTGGGCTCCTATGAAAGTTGTAGGTCTATGTCTTATCTTTCCATCCATATAAAGTAGACCTGAATCCAAGATCTACAGCTCTATATATGACCCAATTACCGAATAGTGTTTTGATTTGGACTGCACCCACATCTCTTTTCTAAGTTTGACCATCTCTTTGTTCTTTCCATTTCAGTTTTTAAACTTATCAATCAATCCTTTTATTTATGTGATAAACCTGCATTTAAAATGAATATTTACTATAAATTAAAGGTATTTTATACTATTAGATATGTTATTATAAAACATGTTTTAGTTAAGGAGTTATTGATACTTGAAGTGCAAAATAATGATATAAAACCTTGATAAAATTACATTTTTAAGTATTAATCATATTGCAGTCAATAAGATATGTTAGTCTATGCATTCTCTCATGAATATTCAATAATTGGTACTTCATTATTTAGATTGCACTTGACTCATTATAGTTATCTCTCACTTAATAGGTTTAATGATATTAATTAGGTTGATGGTATTGATAGGTTTGATGATATTAATTAGGTTGATATTATTGATGACTAAAAGTTCACTTGTTGTTATGCTATTCACCTCGGTGTAATTTGATCTCTTTGAAATCTAGCAAATGCATTGTTAATCACTTTTATACATATTTATTGTTATAGATGGTCAAATTGATGAACTTAATATTTTCAAAACAACTCATCCTTTAGTATAATATGATAACTTAAAAGCCACTATCCATATGCTAATTTAGCGTTACATGCTCGCTTGAAACATGTGAAAATTAATTCACTTTGTCCATGGCATGGTTGCTCAAAAAAACCTGAGTTCAATTTATTACTTTTGATGATTGGATTGTCAATGTGCTAAATAAACCTAACCTCTCTTATCATCTCCGTTTACGATCCAAGTTAGTGAATGTTGTACCTTATCCCATTCAACTTGCTGAGAATTATTGAAGTAATATGATCAAACATAACTTCAGGCTCAACTAGATATAGCTATGATATGTTGTATTATTAGTAATATGAAGTTCATTAAAGTTAGCCAGTGCTTGTTGAATCAATCCGTGTATATGCAATACACCTGTACATATTGATTATTGAAATAGAATATACGACAACAACACACGATTACAGCTCACGGCGAATTTTCCCCTTTCTCACGAGCTGTTACTTTTACTATGTATTAAATTTATCACAGAGAATTGAGTCCTAAAAAACATGGACCATCACAGAGAATTGAGTCCTAAAAAACATGGACCATGATTCTCTTCTAGTTTGGCTTTTTATACATCAATTTAAATTGTGCAGTTTGTTTTCAAAAAGACTGAAGGAGGTGGGATGGGACTTTCTCCTTGATGAAGCCTTCGCTGCAAGAGAAGCAAGGAGAAGGGTGAACTAGACCCCGGCTTGAGCCATAAGCTTGCCAACAAAAAGACCTTGTCGTTCCCCCTGTGTGTGACAGAAGTTGAACATCTTCCAAGTATAGTCCTTTACAGGGGAAGTCGTCGCTGCAAACAAATTTTATAGCTTCCTCAGTTGCTGAAGTTCCTTTGATACGCCTAAAGGATATATTCTCCACTATAACAGCTGAAGTCTGCATTCCACGGCATTAATAAGTCATATAATCTCTTCATTTCAAGAAATGCATTCAAATTATATACTAGCCAAGAAGAATAATGCAGCGGTAGCAATCCAACACAACTGCTTCAGTGGCAATTAACTAGGACGCATTCCTTAAGGCTACTGACAGGGAACATGTCACTGTAATCCTTATTGTTGAATGTTTGACCATCGTGTGATAAGTGTGTGGTGCCGGCCCAATCTACATGCATTTACAGGTCCACTATGATTCATAAAAAGTGTGGTCCATTGCTTATAAATTCGGCAACAATTTCATATTCCTGGCACTAAAATCTGAGAAAGGTCAGTACCATACCTGATTTGCACATGGCACGCCTGCATCACAATAATACTGATCTATTATAATTGGATTTGATACGTTTTCCATGAATATGTTCTGGAATGTGATATTTGTGGCATTACCACCACCTCCCTGGTGAAGTTCAAAGAGCTCAGGATTCGGTTAATCACAAAGAATTCACTAGTTAAAACATCTGTCTATCTATTCAGAGATGCACGTAGAGATTTGTGTGTGCTCAAGTGTGTGGCAGAGAGATAGAACTTTACCTGCCATGTTTTTATCCGCACCCCGTTATCAGTGTTTGAAAGGAAAGCTCCATCAACCATTACATCCCGCACCAATGATGATGAGTTTGATTTTCCCAAGCTCCCAATGCTAATGAATACAAACAAGAAAAGGTTAAGAACTACAGACGTTCATGATACTGCAGTGCTAGAGAGTGCTGGACTTTGTTATTACCTTATACCATGGCCTGGCCCACAGGCAATGTTTCTGATTTTGATTCGTGAAGAGTTGCTGACTATAGAGATGCAATCATCACCTAGATGCAAAATTGGAACTCAAGATAACATTTCCACTCAAAATATGCATAAAAAATGCAAGTGTGAAGCCTCAAGCTTTGCATACCACAAGTTCACAAGCTTCATTTGAAAGACATGGAGTTGGAAAAGGGATCATCATGTTCTGTTCCACCATATCAGCAACTAAAATAAAATAGATATTTTTCTTTTCTTTTCTTTTCTTTTTTTTTTTTAAAATTGAGCGCCATTTATTTAAAGGAACCAAATATCAACGAATCAATATATCTATGGTTAAATCTAAGGTAAGTGACTTTTTGATACAATGGAAAGCTCTTACAGACCATTAACTGAATCTGAAGTTCACTGTATGAAACTTGTGATTGATTGAATTGGGTGTATCATAAGAATATACATATGATGCTCTATTTAAATTTGCACATAATGAAGAGATATTTTGATAGCAACCTCCGATCCAGGCTAACACATCAGTATAAAAGACTGCAACTGATATCGACCACCTATATCTTGTGTTCATCGATAGTTTTCTTGGGAAATTCATTAAAAAATCAGGTTTAGGCCTCCATAACCCAATAGCCTATATCTCCCAAATCAATCCTCTGCACAAACAATATCATTCTGGTCCTATATCTCACGAATTTTTTTGTGAACCTCGGGAAAAGAAACAAAAATTCACCCCTAAAATCCCAGCTTAAGATGATGTACTCTAGCTAACCATCTTTTTCTGAGTTAGAAAAGTTTAGCTTCAAGAAAATCCAATTCAAGATTCTTTCTCCAAACTATCTTCAATTAAACATACTGTGTCATACTTGAATGGGTAGCATCTTATGGAGAAAATATAATGGATATATGGAACATTGTACTTCTGCTCTGAGCACGCAAGGTTTGGTCCTTTCTCGGTGATGGCTAACTGCCTGTCTGCTATCACAGACAACTCACCTTTTATTTTTTTTATTACCTTCACAAGCAGCGGGGTACTCCACTGCTAGGAACTGGCGTGCCAAGTCACCCCAGCAGCGCCTGGGTTGACAAGGGCCCATCTTGTCTTTTCAAAAAGTGGCCCCATGCATAGTAGTGCATGAGAATTAAAAATTCACAAGCTATACAAGGGTAAAACTAGAACCCCAGAACCTTTTTGTATCATCATAAGCCAAGTCTTAACCACTTGTGCTCAGCCTAACCACAGAAATATCATGTACTTGTGCATTTAACGAGCTACAAGGAATATATCCATTAACAAGCTGATATTAATAAGGAATTGAAAAAATATTATAACAGAGAGGTCATCACACATGTTGAAAAATTATTATAGCAGAGAGGTCATCACAAATGACAATCAAAGAATGAAACAGATTAAATAGTGTTGCAGCAGGTATTTTCATTTCATTCTCAATCAAACCTGATTAAACTATTATCATTAGCCCAAATGAAAAGACACATGATTTCCAAGCGCAGCTATCAAAGCAACTAAAAGAATTGTTGAAATGAACTCAAATGAGATAAAAATATCTGTTCATAAATGAAGATTCCCGTATGGCATGTCATAAGCAAAATTATTAACATGCTCTCTTTGTTTTGCAGTTGCAAATAACATCATCAAATTACACTTACAAAGAAATGTCTACATGCATCAAAAAGTTGCAAACTTATGAAGTAAACACGGAAGGAAGAGAAAACACATTTACATCATCATTCTAATAATAAAACTATGTGCCAGCTTCCAGAATTACCAACCTGTTCTAACAACACTATCCTTGATCTTTACTCCATGGGATGCACTGATGTGGATTCCATCAGTATTGGGGCTAACAGCAGGTGATGTCACTATAAGATGGAAAGTCATAACCCTGAGACAATTAGTGAATGCTATGTGCATCTTTTGACCACAAACCACCTTAAGATTCTCGACTTTCAAATCCTTGCACTTGTGGAAAGTAATGGCCTGCAGCACGATTGCTATAGTAGATTAGAGTGTTTAAAACGTGAAAGGAAAACATTGTTCTTGAGGAAACAATAGGATGAAAGATACAACAGAAAGAAGTAAATTAATGGAACTAACTGCATTGCTCAAAGAATAAAGCAGCACTGACCGTTGGAGCATTTCGGCATGGCTGTTGCAAACAATTGAAGCTATAGTTAAAAAAAATGCATAAATAAAAAAATATGAGAAAGATTTAGGTATGAGTCACAGAAATACATTGGTTTTGTTGATCTTGCAAGATTGAGCCCACCATAACCATCCCCTGCCATTGACAGTTCCTCCCCCTTCTACTGTAAGGTGCTTTACCCCATGGAAGTAGAGCCACTTGCGACGATTTAAACCTTTCCAAGCAGCAGGGTCTTCAGGAGCAACAATCGTACCAGAGATCTATTAAATCACAATTCCAATGCAGTAACTGATAGGGGAACAATATTCACATAGATGGAAGAAATGATGCAAATCACAACAAAACAGTTAGTTGTTATGCTTACATCAAGAATGACCTTTGATTTACAAGGCCCTCCGAAATCAACCGGATGGACCAGAAAATTATAACCAGCTGGAATTAAAATCCTGGTTCGACCCCGGAAAGAACAAGCCATCTCCCAAACTTCTTTGAAAGCCTGAAAGCCAAGAAATAATACCACATCAAGAGAAGTTATACTTTACAATAACTTTGCACATGGTTAAAATACATAGTAAGGCATAAAAAGTCCAAACAAACTCTTAAAAAGATCTGAAATTTTTGCTTGAAAAGCAAATAATTGGCTGCTTGGTATTATGCAGTCTATTGCATCTCAATAGGCAAGGTTCAAAACTCTTTACCAAGACTTGGTAAGGAAAACATGATGGCTGATCGTATAGCCAGCTAATGGAGGAAAACAAAGAGGAAATAAGAAATTGTTCAGTTTTCACAACAACAATTGTTTAACCATTAAAATTGAAATGACCGACTTTCATTTGTTATCGAAAATTTGCTGAGACCATTCACGTTCACAAAGATGAGAGCATCATTTTGATTTCTTGAAACATTCATTTTCTTTACATTCCAATAGAACAGAAAAAAATATATTAACCCAAACCCCATGCTGAAATCAAAATCTACAACCTGAAGCTCATAACAAGTTCAAGTTTTCCTCGAACAGAAAACTAGCTGCGCTCAAGAAATATGATGTTCACTAGTTGCAATAGAAATTAAAGTTTTGTTGTCTAAACGAGCTCATACATTCCACCAAAAAGAAAAGAAATGGGAATCATTCAATTAGACATGGTACGCCCACACATAAAGTTACTCAAAATTGTCCAATATATACATGATTTCTAATTTGCCAACAATCTCAAAATCGAATACCCCATTCAGAGCCAAGAAGATTCTAAACAAAAATCATGCATTCTTATAAAATGGGCATCATCAAACATGTAACACCACATTGACATTGACAAAAACAACCTATCAAGTCGAATGATCAACATTCAAGTAGAGTAACCAAACCACGTCGCACTACAGAAGACACAGATCAAATAAAACATTAAAAAAATAGAAACGTAGTGTATATAATGGAAACTGTATAATGATGACATGCCTGAGTATCATTACTAAGACCATCTCCTTTCGCACCAAAATCACCGACAAGAAGGACCCTTTTGGAACTGGGTCGGATTCTTGATGGCGCGGATTGCGGGAGCTGAAGGAGAGAGTCAAATCCTTGTACACATACAAAACATGCACATATAAGCACACGTATAGTGATAGCGCCTTTTGGACAAAAACCAAACCTCAGGTTGTTCATGTTCTGTCAGAGAGAACATGGGCATCAGAAACCTGGCGCCGACAGTTTTATGAACAGCAGATGGATCTAGTGAATCTATCTAACATCCTAAATTGAAAGCCGCTGTCACGGGTTTATTCTTTTCTTGATGCTGTAACGTCGTTTGAGGTCTTCCTGTTGTCATTCTGTTAATCATTTCTCAATGTCTGTTCTGTGTTTTAATATTGGTTTGAACAGTTCATCTGTTTTTTTTTTTAATATTTAATTTTAATATTATCTTAAATCCAGATGAAATCGCCATCTCTTATGTTATTGAAATGCTATTTACTTTGGTTTTAATTCCTGTCTTCTAATGTTATATATATATATATTCAAAAACGCGTAGATTTTACTATAACAGTTTTTTTTCCTATTGTTTTTTTTTTACATGTGGTTTTCCTTTTTTTACCCAAAATTAACTTCTTTTTCTTTTATTTTTTTCAAAATTATTTTTGCTAATTTTTTTAAATATTGAATTAATTAAAAATTAAATTATGTAAATTTTTTAAAAATATTATGAATTCCTATAATATTCTTATACATTGTTTTTTTTTATGATTTTTTTTTCAAAATGATATTTGTAAATTTTATTTTTTTTATATTAAGTTGGTTAAAAATTTAGCTTTGTAATTTAAAAAAAAAACAATATGAATTGCTACGGTGTTTCTCCTATATAATTTTTGTTTTGCTGCAATGTTTCCTATATATTTCTTTTAAAAATTATCTTTCTCAAATTTAATTTTTTAATAATGAGCTGGTTGGTAATCTAGCTTTAGCTTTCTCCATATGTTTTTTTATTTTTTTATTTGTTTTTTTTCAAAAATTTTATTTTTTACATATTTTGTTTTTTTTGTTTTGTTTTTTTTAGAATTATTTTTGTTGATTTTATTTTTTTACTATTGAGTTGGTTGAAAATTTAGTTTTTTAGTTTTTTTCTTTAAAATACTATAGCTTTCCCCACATGTTTTTTTTGTTCCCTTTTATTTCCTTTTTTTTTATATTTTTAACCCAAAATTGACTTTTAAAAAAAAAATAGTCTTTGTTAATTTTTTTTTTATATTAAACTGACTGAGAACTTAGCTTTGTAGCTTGTTTCAACAAAAAAACACTATGAATTACTATAGTGTTTTCCTTACATGGTTTTTGTTTAGTTGTAGTGTTTCCCCCTCATATTTTTTTTTAAATTATCTTTGTTGAATTTATTTTTTTAATATTAAGTTGATTGAGAATTTAGCTTTAACTTTAGCTTTCACCATGTTTTTTCTATTTTTTTAAATTTTTTCCAAAATTATCTTTCTTTTTTATATATTTTTTATAATTATTTTTGTTGATTTTATTTTTTTATTTTTTTATTATTGAGCTGATTGAAAAATTAGTTTTTTAATTTTTTTTCTTTAAAACACTAGATTGCTACCGTGTTTCTCTATATGGTTTTTTATTAAATAATTTTTTAAAAAAATTATGTTTGTCGATTTTATTTTTTTATATTAAGCTGATTGAGAATTTAGCTTTGTAGTTATTTAAAATATTGTAGCTTGCTATAGTGTTTTCCTCCATATTTTTCTAATCGATACTTTTTTTTTCAAATTTATTTTTGTCAAATTTATTTTTTTCATACTGAGCTGGTTGACAATTTAGCATTTTTTTTCTTAAAACATTGTTGATTGCTACAATGTTTTTCATATAATTTTTTAATGTTTTTTTAAATTGTATTTGTCGTTTTTATTGCTTTTAATATTGAGCTGGTTAAAAATTATAACTGTAGATTTTCTCATGAAACACTATAGATTATTATAGTGTTTCCTTGCATGTTTTTTTTTCTTTTGTTCTTTTTATATTTGTTAAAATTATCTTTGTTAATTTTTTTTAATATTGAGTTGGTTGAGAATTATAATTGTTTATTTTCTCATAAAACACTATAGATTAATACAATGTTTTCTTAAATGATTTTAATATTGAACTGATTGAAAATTTAGCTTTAACTTTCCTCGCATGTTTTTTTTATTTTATTTAATTTTTTTCTTCCAAAATTGTCATCTTCTTTTTTTTTATGTTTTTTTCATAATTTTTTTTATTGATTTTGTTTTTTTAATATTAAACTGATTGAAAATATAATTTTGTTGTTTTTTCCTTTAAAATATTGTGGATGGTAACATTTTTTTTTATATGATTTTTTTCATAAATCCATGATAATACACAAACATATCACAAGCCTACATCATCACATGTGCATGTCACCTAATATATATATATATATATATATAAACTGTTATTTTTAAGTGGAATTAAAGCTCCCTAATTGGTTTATTCAAAGTCAATATTGTTTCAGTAATCATTCGGGAATTTCAAATGGTATGAAAGGTTTTGATTTATTTTCATTGTTTTTTACACAAAAAAGTAAAAAGAATTTAAAAAAAATAATAAATTTATAATTCTAACATAATTTTATGAAAAAAAATGATAATTAATTTAAGATAGTTATATGAAAAAGTTAAATAATAAAATATATATTTTTATTTGAATTGAATATTTATGAGCAATTGTTTTTTATTAAAAAACAATATATGAGGTTCATATACCATTATTTAAATATAACCATATAAAAATTTCTAATCTTATATTATTTTGTAAAATATTATTTTACTAAAATAAAATATTTTTATTGAAAAATTGTAAAATAAATAAATTAAAAATGAACAAAAATTAGGTGAAGGGCCAGGAGTCAAGCTAGGCCCACGAACATAATTGGGTATGGAAAGTTAAGCCTGCGAGTATATCATTTAAAAAAATCAAATATCATTGGCTTAAAAGGCTAAGCTTGCTTAATTTTTTCAAACTCAAACCGGCACTCTTTGCTCGATATTTTTTCATAAACAATGTACGACGTGTTCTTTGCCTATACAGAGACGATCACCGCAACTAATTTAGCCACCACGTACGGCGGAACTAAAAAATAAAATTAAAAAGAGTTAAAATAGTAGTTGTTATATTATTTAAATTTAAATTATAAATATTGTTTAAAAAAATTAATTTTTATTTTATTTTTGCAGGGGCTCAACCCCCGTCTCCGCCCCTGCCACCACATATATATATATATATGTTCACTAGGCTCATGACAGTGGCAGCTTGATGATATTTGTAATCGGTGGATGCTATCTATTACTAGATATTGCTTTTACTTGTGCTATTTTCAACTCACAACGCAACACTATCTTCTTCTTTTTTTATTTTATTTTTGTTTTTAATGATGATTTTATGTATGGATTTTTATTTTAAAGATTAATTTTCAATTTAATTTGGAATAGAAAATTGTAACGAAATCTTGATTAAATTGATTTTGTTTCTTGAAAAAAGTTTATCCTTATATAATAAATATAATAAAGTAGTTCTTTAATCTAATATTATATTTTCAATTGAGTCAGTTTTATCTTAAAATATAAGTTAAGTTTCCATACATCATGATGTATTTTGACAAGTTTTTTAGGTCAAATTAATAATCCAAATTAATCACATAATTATTTAGTGCGTGATTATTTTTTATTCTTAAAGTATCATTGCAAGTTAGATAGATTAAATGCTTTTCATGTACAAATTACATAGCTAATTATCGTAGTTTAGCTTGAAAATCTTGTTAGAAAGATGTGTTGGGAATTTAATTTAATAGTATATTTAATGATAAAATTGGTTCACTTGGAAATATAAGGAAAAATTAAAGAATTTCCCTATTAAATAAGGTATTGAGCCATTAAATCGAAACCAAAAAAACTTGTGATAGGAAGCATTAAGGGCAAAAATGAAATTTACAAATTAACTTAGAGTAGGAAGAGAAGAACTCAAAATTTAAATCTTAAGGTCTATAGGTTTCTTACACTTCATGTATTGTGGAAGCAGGTTTTCTTAACTTATTTAATGGGAAAAAAGTATAAAACACCTCCTAAATCTTAATAAATTCATATTTAATTCAACTATTTTTAATTGTTAAAAAACTAAGAAATCACTTGATTAAAAAAAATCTAAAACTATGTCAAAAACAACTTTTTTATTGTTGTAAATTAGCTAACCAATAATTTTATATCTTCTTTTCCTGTTTTTTAATGAATTTCTTGCTTTTTATTAGAAAGTAAATAAAATGAAGTTTTGCACAAAAATTATAAAAAATAAAGGGATAAAAAAAGAAGTCAAAGAAAAATAAATGGACTAAAAAGTATTTTTTTAGATTGACCATGTGATTTTTTTTTTAATTTGATCACTATTTTTTAATTGTATCTTTAAACTATAAATTAAAACTATATTTTATTAAATTAGCTTTCAATCAAGATTAAAATGTGATAAAAACCTTTAAATCTCTAAATAATGAAAAAAATAAGGAACCATTAACTCACAAAACAACAAAAACCAAGATAACATAAGATGTAACCAATAAAGAAGTTTAATGATATATATATATAGACCACTATTAAAACCCATAGTGCTAGCAATTACAGTAAAACACCCTTCAAAGTTTATTTTGTAGTTGTAATTATACCATCTCAGTTTTACCAATGAGCCACGTCTATCATCTGGTTTCGAAGCACAAGGAAAACTTACAAATACGGCCCAACTCGAGGTAATACAGATCTTGTTTAGAAATATGGTAAATATTATATTTTTTAAAATTTTAAATTAATTTTATTTATGTTTTTAGATTGTTTTAATGTGTTGATTTCAAAAATAATTTTAAAAAATAAAAAAATAATTTTAATATATTTCTACAATTGTTACCATGTAATCAAAGAAGTTTCCTTTATTTGTTTCCCTTTTTTTATCTTATTTATAAAAGAAAATTGGTTTGAAGAAGATGCCTGTAGTCTGGTACAGTGGTATACGGTAGCAGGGTTTATTAAGCTAATATTTGGAAGCACGGCTCAAATAAAAGTTAGCCAAAATTTATTTATTTTTGTTTAAAAATTATTATTTATTATTTTTAAATTATTTTAATGTATTAATATTAAAAATAAATTAAAAAATAAAAATAAAATATTAATTTATATATTTCTAAATAAAAAATACTTCAAAAATAATTTCAACCATACATTTAAACACCCCAGAAAATAAATCAATGGTATGTGCATATTAGTCTATGACAAACCCAGGGTTAACGAGTGGAGTGAGTGACTGGGTTACTGA